TATTGGTCCAATCAGAGCCAGAGAGGGTGGAAGCAAAGCCCGTGATTAATTAGCATACCCATCCAAGGCTCATAAACGCGCCGACAGCCTTACCTGATGCATAAGAGAGCGTCCAGAACGGGAGGAGAGGTACATTGGATGTGGTGCAACTTTACTCACCTTACAGGCACATACACGCATAGTCTTGCCTAAAAACGCACAGCCAAAACAGAACTTTACGCGCTTACCCGAGACGGCTTCTCTCCTCCCTTTTCCTTCAGCGCTCCAAGGTCAGCGGAGACTTTGCTTTCGGTCGGTTTGTAACTCTCTGTTCCCGTTCTCCTGAGTTGTGGCCGATCAGATCCACAGCCCCAGGTCACCCATGAAGCTGGAGGCCGGCGCCAGGATGGATCTGTTCCGGAAGCTGTGGAAAGCGAGGGAACTGATCGTCGGGGTGTTCATCCCGCTGTCCCTGCTTCCCTTACCACTCATCTACCCCACCAGCGTGAGTTAAAGAAATAAATCAAATATGTTTACTTAAAAGCATGCGGTAGAAACAGAACATTAAGTTAAATTCTACCAGGAAACAAATAGGGTAGTCTAAACACCTGTCATGTATGATTATGCTTTTGTAAACTAAGAACATATGACAGTCAGTAACTCTTCCATATTGAGTACCATACCTACATCAAGAGAAGAAGAAAACCACATAATTTTTTTCCATACTTCCATATTGAGTACCATACCTACATCAGAGAAGAAGAAAACCACATAATTTAAATAAATACCTAGAAAACATCCAATAGAACAGTGAACAAGATATCAATTTATCCCTTTATGTGCTGGTCTTACCATACCTACATCATGATGACTGTAGGATCCTCATGGGATTTTGGTGTGCGCGCCTGTGTGTGTGTGTGTGTGTGTGTGAGAGAGAGAGAATCAATGAAAATGCCACACTGTATTCTGTTTTGATGAGTGCTTGATCCCATCATCAGCTGAGGCCTGTGTATGGAGAGATGTCTAGACATGTGGATGAGATGGAGATGAGTTGTTAAAAAGCAAAGAGCAGATAGAGAAAGAGAGAGGGAGAACAACTTGATACTCCTTTAGGCTCATGGGGTTTTTGCTTTTAGAAAGTTAAACAGCAGAAAAAACAAGATTATCTTGAGTTGCGTGAATCCAATCAGTACAAGCATTCACCTTTTTAAAGCAAACTTGTTGCCAAGACACCAAGTAGTTGTCTTTCTGTACAGATAAATCACATGTTGTGTACAGTTTTGTTGCAGCAGATTAGATGTGTGTGCCAAAGTATACTCAGCTAAATTTTTAAATAGCTTCTAGATTTAAATATTGTGTTGGTGAGTTTCAAGACTGAGTTAAGTTGTCTGTTGTGTCAACAGATTCAGGAGTTATTGAACTGATTTAGCAATGAATCAGGACTGTGTGATTTGTCTCATTTGCAAATTTTGAGCAGCAAACCAAATTCAGCCTTCAAAATGTCCTTTCAGAATGTCTTTCTACAGTCCAGATTTAGACCATCACATTTCTCTGAAAAATAAATGTCTCTATTTTTAAAGCCCTTCCCAAACATCTGGGGAATAATCCATCTCTTGCATAATATGGTAAAGGGACTGCACCCCCTATTACTCCAAATACTCTATAATGTTTTCAGAATAATAATACCAAATATCCTCTTCCTAAAACGAGAGGATAGTTCACAACTCCAGCTGCCGGTGTTGTGTCGCAAGTGGACAGCACAACAAATCAGGACTGCATTAATTAATCTGAATTTCTCCTCCATAGATAGTTAAACAACAGTGTATATATACCTATGAAAAGAGATTTGTAACACTCTAAACAAAGCAGGTTGTTGAGAAAGCCCATATTTTAACTGCCATAATAAAGACATAGTAACTTCTTCAGCCTTACAACAATTCGCTCTAAGATTACAGAAACAAGGCATTAACAATATGTGTGTGTTTTTTTTTAAACTTACCGTTAAGTCCCACCCAGTAGTGGAAACATCACTCCCTTTCAAGTAGCTCCAAGGTTAGTAAGTCCAACTGGTGCTCCCCTGCGTTTTCCACCACATGACCACATACAGTCCCAAAGTAGTGAAATTAATTCCAACAGGTAGCGTAGCACCAACAATAACAGCATGGATTGTTAATCCCCTTGTTAACCAGCAACACATCACATGCAGCACACACTGGCCTCAAGCTGTAAAAACAAACAGGTACTGTGCTCTAGGGGAATCTAGTATTGATGAGCTGATCACTAACCACCAGGGGGGCTTCACTGGCTGGCTGCTTGTAGGTTGGACCCGGTGAGGTAAAACAATGAGTCCCTGTACAGGAACATTCCTGGACATGCAGTAACCTCAGAACCTGTATTTTTCTCCACATCCTCTGGTCACAGTGCAGGCAGTAGGAGGTGAAATATACCCACAAAACCAAGTGCAGTTGAAAAACTCTGCTTTTACAATGGCACTGGTGGGTGTCTTTTTTTTAAATAAGCTTTGCCAGTATGATGGGGGCACAGGTGGATGTCAGGCAAGCTCACATGAACACACAACAGCCTGGATTTTATGCCCATTCAAGGTGTAGGACTATGGTTCTTGTTACCATTGCTAACTCTGAAAGATGAGACAGTCCAAGTAACTTCAAAACAGTGCTGATTAATTCAAAGGATCACAGGTAAAATTAACATTACACGCTCAGATATCTTGCACCTCCAAACTGCTCGCAGGCAGATGTAAGATGAAAGACCCCGAACCCACCAGGCTTATACATTATATCCCCTCGGTTGGGCTAGCCCCATACTACACAGAAACGTCAACCGAGACGTCTGTGTTACCAGCTTTGCAGCTGGCCATAGCAGTAGTCAAAACATGAAGCAATGTGTGTGTCTGTTGGTTAAGTGGTGTGTAGCTAAAAACATTCTCACGACCTCTAGTAACATGTCGTGGCTTAAACATAAGAACCTATTATGGCTAAGGCTACAGTTATACACGTCATAATAATAATATTAAACACCCTGTCTGCTGACAGTCATCAACTCTTCTCTCTAGTTATCCTTGACCAGATGTACCCTGTAGAAACTCATAAGCATGACTAAGCATTTAACAGTCTAACTAGACATCCTATCTCCACTAAATATTTCTAATACATAAAGTATCTATCCAATATCTATCTGACTAAAAATGCCTAACAAAGGAGATCCTTAAACTATTACATAATACTTCAGTGTTTCCCCTACCATTATATTTGGGAGGCATGCAGAAAACAGCGGAAATGATAGTGGACTTTAGGAGGAGTACCCCCCACCCAAACTCCCCTCACTATATTCAGTAGCACCATATCAGCAGTGGAGACCTACAAGTTCCTGGGTTCCTCCGGACTTGATGCGGGCAACCAATATCTGCTCTATTAGCAAAAAAAGGCACAGCAGAAGATATACTTCCTGCATCAGCTCAAGACATTTAACCAGCCTCAGGAGCTGCTGATACAGTTCTATAGAGGAATCACTGAATTTGTTCTCTGCATGTCCATCCCTGTCTGGTTTGGCTCAGCAACCAAACAGGACAGGAATAGACTTCAGTAGACAGTTAAGTCTGCAGAAAAAATAATTGGAGCCAGTCTGCCCACTATGGAGGGCCTGTACACATCACAGTCAAGAGCATGGCAGATAATATTTCCACAGACCTATCACATCCTGAACATAGTCTGAGCTCCTGTCTGGACAGCACTACAGAACACTGTACACCAAAACAACCAGACACGGAGACAATATTAATGCAATCACATGCTCATTAACACATTGTGAGGAGCCTTGCTCTTATATCAGGACTGGTGGATATTTAGCACAAGTAGGCAGCACAAGATGAGGTCAAAAAAAGAGCAAAAGAAGAAAGTAGGCAGCACAAGATGAGGTCAAAAAAGAGCAAAAGAAGAAAAGTCATTCCAAAAAACAAAAAAACAACAACCATGCAATCAAGTTATATAATCAACCTACTGCCATGCTGGATTTTGGCCCCACGTGGCTTGCTTACAACACCAGGAACCCCAGACTGTGTCAGGAATGTGATAGGGGTTCAGGAGTGACTGCGTGTGTGTGTTTGTGTGTGTGTGTGTGATACTTTGTCCAGCTACAGCAGGACAGAACATCTGTTGGATGCAGTCAGGTCAGGTCAGGTCAGACAGCAAGGAAGACACTGAGCGATGAGACAGAGGTGCAGAGCCAATGGCAGATATGAACAGTGTCATGCAGAGTCATGCTTGTGCCACTTTGCATTCCTAATATAAATTTAAAGTTGTAGAGTATTCAAGCTGTAGAGCTGAGTCCAGGAACACGGTCACAATACAAAGAAATGGTCCTCATAGGATTCTACATTACAGTGCATTAACATTTTACTTATACTTTAGCTATGGGTTTGGAGTTGACAGTGATAGACTGTCAGTTGGTCCATCACACTGGTTCAGATTGAAATGTATTAATAACTATAGTTACAATATATTTTGTACAAATATCTAAATTCCCTGACTTTTCCTCTAGTACCACCATAAGGTTGATATTTGTGGTTTTGGATAAAATAGCTCCACAATTATTGGATGGATTGTCATGAACTTTAGTATAGGTATTTATGTTCCTTTAGGAGGAATGAATACTTTGGTTTAGAATCAATACCTGCAGATCTAAGAAGACCACCACCTGATGGTCGAGTGGCTAGATTCAGTGCTTTCGCCACTGTGGCCTGGGTTCGAGTCAGGGTTGTGTCAGGAAGGGCATCCGGTGCAAAACACTTGCCAAATGTCAACATGTGAACAGTCAGTGCGGTGACCCCTAATGGGGAAAATGCCAAAAGTGACATTCACCTGCTTATCTAACAACAATCCTATCAGCAAAGCTTTGAATGCCAAGATGGAAATATGTCTGTCTCAACCAGGCATCTGTAGTTCAGGTTGTCACTAAGAAACAAGATGTGGTGGGAGGGGCAAAGATTTTTGGAGCGGCTTATGTTGTCATTTTGTTTTCAGTTTCACTAAACCCACTAGGCTGAAAAAAAATAGGAAGAATAGCTTTAATATAGGTGAATATCACTTTTGGATTTTTCCTGTTAGGGGTCACAACATTTGGCACGTGCTTTACACTGGATGCTCTTCCTGACACAAGCCTGGGCCGCAGCAGTGGGAGCGCTGCGCCCTCACCACTAGTCTATCAGGGAAAAGCTTTAAGATAGGTATTCCAGTAAATTTTAAATACCTTTAGTACATAGAGTAGGGTATTAAATTTGCATCTTATCTGCTGCTGAGATACACGTGCACACACACATTCATTCACTCACCTCAGGCTATTTTACCTCAGGGACTCTATATCCCATTCTTTTCAGAAAATCAAGTTTGCTCATATTCTTTTTAAAACAATCCTCAATTTCAATGCTTGACACATTAGTTTCCACCTCTCTGTCATTCAGTATTTTCGTAAAAGTGCCACATAATCTGAAAGTAATCTGCAAGCAGGGACAAAACAATGGCCTTTTCATGTTGCCTCCTAAAACAAGACAAAAACTGAAAAGTTGCCTTCTGCTTCCTGACACGTCTCAGCATAAAGTTTGGTTATCAGAGGGGTTGCATCAGTGACTCTGCTTACAAAGCACTTTGGCTTTAACTTGCAAAATCAGAAAAAAGTGCAAAAAAGCACATAAGTGTTAGACAAAGACCAATAATCACTGATTGCTGAGTCAGACGATCTCTGTGTGTTTGTGTATCTTTCTTGTCTTGTGTATATCTATGTTCATCTATGTTTCTTTTTTTTAAATTTGTCCTTTTGCTCCTTTTTCCCTTATGCCACCTCCCGTCTTTTCCTTTTCCCACTCTTCTCGGTCTCAGTCACAAATCAACTGTCCAACTTTAGTCCTGTTATCAAGTAGGGTCCTTGATTAAATCACTTTGTAACTTTTTTGTTTGTTTTTTGCAAGGCCCACTTCAACTATGAACTCAGATGTCCTTTACCTGCGGCTAATGCTTGTCATCAAGTGTAGAATCAAGTGTCAACCTACTTAAAATCAGCTTTTTATTTGCCTACTTTTTAGAAAGAGGACAAACTATGGGAGAGAGGAGAGACAAAGTTACTGACATGTGATGGTGGCATATAAATGCATGGAGAGTGAGGAGAGGAGAACAGAGAGGAAAGGAGAGCATCATGGGAGGACCCCCAGCAGTCTGGGCCTATAGCAGCATAACTAAGGGCAGGCTCGGGGTCATCAGAGCCAGCCCTAACTATAAGCTTTATCAAAAAGGAAAGTCTGAAGTCTAACCTTAAAGGTAGAGAGGGTGTCTACCTCCTGAACTGAGACTGGGAGCTGGTTCCACAGGAGAGGAGCTTAATAGCTAAAGGCTCTGCCTCTCATTGTACTTCTATAGACTCTAGGAACCATAAGTAGACTGAAGTGCTCTGTTGGGATAATATGGCCCTAGGATGTCCTTAAGATATGATGGAGCCTTGGCATTAAGGGCTTTGAAGTGTTTTTAAGTAGAGAGAAGCTAATGTATCGCATCTCTTCAAAGCCCATGGTTTGAATGGCAGTGAGGTATGAACAGGTCTGGACATTCTTCTTGCTGGAGCTTAGGCTAATTGTTACCGCTCTGGGTTTTTTAAATTTGAAATTAACTGACCTGTTACTGCACAATATTATACTTAATGTTCTTCTTACATAACAGTACTCCAAGCTTACTCAGCATGTGCCAATGGCAGGAACTGCTTATTTTTTTAGACTCAAGTGGGGGGCAAAGTAAAAAAACAAAAACAAAAAAACATTATCCATATATTGTATTAAAAATCCTGGTTGGAAACATTTGCAGTGACAGCATTTCTAACAGTGCTGTATTTGTCCATGACACAAGCCCTGGAGGAAGCACTGGAAAAACAGAAAATGCACACCCTTGAATTTTGGGTTAAAATTGTCCTTTGGGTGATTAATGTAAGTTTTTGTAATATTCATAAGGTCTCCACAAATGTCACAAGATTCTTCTTTAGTTTTAATGTTGGGGAGCTCATCACTAAGCCTGCTGGTGTTGCCACACAGTGGCATGAGGGACTGGTATGCTGATATTATATAACCATAACCAGATTAATGCAACATGTGTGTGTGTGTGTGTGTGTGTGTGTGTGTGTGTGTTAGAAGGAGAGTGTGTGTGCACCTCAGTTGGACTCTGAGTACAAACCCCACTCCCCACCATCCTGGCAGTACCTCAGGTCATAGCACAAACACACAAAATTGTAATATTTGAATGAGTCTAATGAAATATGTCTGGATTTGTGTGCATGCTCATGGATGTTTATGTGTGTTTATGCTTATAGACTGAGAATGACATTTAAGATGACATTTTAATTGTTTGTCATTGATTACGGGGCCATTTTGCAACATTGTTTTTGATGCAGTAGCACTTCAAAATTGTTCTAAATCTTTCACAATATGACTTATTGTTGAAATTAAAGGAATAGATCAGTGTTGTTGAAAATAGGCTTTTCTCCACTGACTTTCTTGAGGAGACTTAGACAGGAAGACCTATTACCTTTGTATCTCTCCATAAAATATGAAGATGGAGCTAGGAACTTATCTTAGCATAATGACTGGAAGCAGAAGACGGGAGCAAAAAGAAGCATGAACCAACATATTGATGAAGTATTCAGCGTTTGTTTTCCTGTTTGCAGGAGGCATGCTGTGCATACGTGCTGATGGTGACAGCAGTCTACTGGGTGTCAGAGGCTGTTCCCCTAGGTGCTGCTGCTTTGGTCCCAGCCTTCCTCTACCCACTCTTTGGGGTGCTCAAGTCCAGTGAGGTGAGCCTGTCTGTCTGTTTAACTATTTGTCTGTTTGGAGTGGGGGCTGTATATAAAAATGCGTCACAACTTCCTGCCACTATGTGGAATTGAAGCCAAAATATTGTGAATACAGGAGTGGCCATTTGCTTTTATAATACATTTTTCAAACATATTCTGTGCAATAGCAACCAGAGGTAGAGTTGTAGTATCGGTCAAAGCTGTCACATCATCCAAAATACACTCCTTTTTATATCATCATATAAAAAAATTATTGGTACACAAATCAGTATGATCATATATAACTAAAATGTCAGAATTCATGATTGGGAAAAAATGTAACTGAGTTGTACTTTGAAGTTTTAGTTTGGTGCGTGCCGATGCTGCTAACTTGGAAGTCACGGGGTTTATGACATATACTGCAGCCTGCCACCAGGGAAAATTTGATTTGTGGTGGCTTCACTTCTGGGAGCTGTCACATTGTCCATCTTTATAGTATAATGTATAGTCTGCAGTATATGTTGACAAGTGCATTTAGCTTTTTGTAAATTTTTTGCTTAAAATTGAAACCAGGCAGCTAAAAGAGAGTCCTCAAAGCTACGGAATTGGTTGATAATTCTATGGTGTGCTGGTACTGCCAGATATCATACATTTCTCTTACTTGTTGACAGGCATTAATATTCTCCCTACACTTTGCCTTCAAATATGCTAATTTAGTGGCATAGAACATTATTATCTGCCACAAAGACAGCATTTACAAAGATAGCAAATTTCTGAAAGCAGCATGATTAGAAATTACCATGTAAACAGCTAATTCTGATTGCTTCAACACTGATAAGGACACATTTGGAGTAATAATCAAACTGGCATTGAGAGTTTCCATTTTGGTTGCAATACTGATAGATAATTTATTTTAGATAACAAGTTGCTACCATATACCTTCATTGGTGTATACTGTATATACTGTACATGGTCTTTGATGAACTCTATAGAATTTTATATGAATAAGTCTATACTGAAATGCAGTGTTGAGCAGTAGTGAACTATTCATACAGTATGTTCAGTTAGTCATTTAAAGATAGGTTTTGTGATCCTGGAAAAAACAGCAAGAGGAAGCTCGGTTTTGAAAGTAGCCAACCAAAGAAATCCCACCCTTTCTTTATGACTTCTCTTCAAAGCCAATCCTCCAAAGCACAACACACACACTATAACATGCACTGCCTGACTGCTGCTTAAAGATTTCAGTAAAATAACAAATGTCCTCCAAACAATACTAAACCAATAATTACCTATCCGGCAGAACTACAGCCACCTTGGCATCACTATCAGCTCCTTGTGTTTTTTCAGTTGTCACCATCATTCAAAAGTCACACTGATGTTAATTCTGGTTTTACTTCTTGCAGTATCTAACTTCTTTTTAGTTATAACTTTCTCAAATATGGTGTTACCCACCCAGATCTGCAGCCCTAAACTGTAGCTGGGGAGCTCTGGTTCATGGCTAAACTGCTTTAGCCCTGGCTTGCTGCCAGTAACTAGCCTTAGAAATCTGGGTTTTTCCAGCAGGGAGAAGTAAAGAGGGAGGCAAGCTAACTCTGTTGAAAACATAGGCTTTATTCTACGTTGGTAAAACGAACACTGCATGTGTTCTTTGAGGCCCAGTTAATTGCATTACAATCCTATCTATACACTTAGAGCTGACTACTGATGGTATTTTCTCCATCCATGGCTGCATGAGAAAGGAGTCTGTTCTACGTAGCAGTCTTCTTGCTCTCATACTGCTCACACTACATGCAGGTCACAATTTCTGGCAGTAATGACATGTCCTATAAGGCTATACGTCTTAGAAGGGAAAGGCCTGGCCTGTAACAACAATCTCCATTCGTAAACAAAAGCTGCTGTGAGTACCTTCTCTGCCATAGCTTGCGGGTAAAGCCACCCAAAATGATGCACAACATGCGGGTTTCTTGTTGTAGTAGGTGTGTGCGTAGTTGCTGTCATTATTATCATTACTGCCTTTGATCACCATCATGGAGCATTCACATAATTCAGACATTGTTTTGCTGTCGCCTGTTTTGCCACTAGATATCACTGGAACTAACCTTTTAATGAATGAACCGATGTTCGATACAATTGATGAAGTGATTCGATACAGGTTCATTGCTTCATTTGGACATCACTACACGCAAGTAGGAAGATAGGCTGACATACAAAACAACGAAAGAGCACGGAGAAAAATTGGCCTAGAGACTAGAACGAACTGGCAAGTGACTGAGGAGTGAAACCGGGTAATATAGTGAGCAACCTAATCAAGTGCAGCTGGTGATAAGGGAGTGAGGAACAGGTGAACGTGATTAGTGTAAATGGGCAAGAGACAGTAGGAAAGGTGAGGGAGGCCAGAGCGGCCGAGCAAACCTGACAATGTGTCAAGCTTTCTCACTCTAGATGGACAAAACTGTGTTATTTAGTGCAAGTGGTAAACTGTGTGCATCTTAACAGTGATGCAGGGAACCAGTGGTACAACTGTGAATGCAGGGATATCCAGCTGTGATAGTGTGTTACTGTGCTGGTAGCTAGAGTCACTGGATGTACAGTAATTTCAGATCAGGGTTTCCGCAAGGGTTTTTATAGTGCAGTGTTACTCATTGTATTACATGAGTACAAACCAGAGCCATCACTTAGTGCTAAAGGTTTTGTCAGACGACTCCACTGACCTATTACAGTACATCAAGTCATTAATACATACAAATAACACATTCAGTTATCATTATGCCACTGATGTTTCTCAGTGTTTTTTTTTTTTTAATTTTTTATATCTGAGTACATTCAAATGTGCCTGCACCTGGCCACTTAGATATTATTACCAGCTATCACTACCAGGATCTGTCTCCACTCAGGAAAACTTTGAGTGGGTTGCCTGAGGATTAGAGCCAACAGTATCACCGCTTAAAAAAAAACACACAGTATACACATCTTTTCCATTAAACTCACCTCTTCTTCACCTTTTTATATAACTGCTACTATGGTTTAGTTATTTTTAATTCTATTATTTTCCTTTTATTTTCCTGTATGGTCTATGTTTTTGATGTTAATTTTGTGAATATTTCTTTTTATTTATATGTGTAACTGTTTGTACTACCATTTTTGCCCAGGACGCCCTGGAAGAAGAGATCTTGTATCTCAATGGGACATTCCTGGTTGAATAAAATAAAATAAAAATGTATCAGCATTACATAAAAAGTCAGCTGCACACCTCGTGACCAAAGTACATTGACAAACAGTGACCAAGCTGCATGATAACCTTTTGTGATGGTGTTCTGCAAATATACCTACAGAGGTTTTATGCAACATTCTCAGTCTATTATAGTAATCCCAGTCTCACAGTTTCCCACATGAACCCATCCAGTGACCACTGGCACAATGCCTGTAGGCAGCATTAGTACTGTAGATACAGTACATGCAAAAAAAGTAATTATTTTATAAAAGGATTAGTGCTTATTTCTGCTGGCTCTTTAATTCTACTGCAAGTGTTGAATGCAGCAGCATCAGTACACCAAATTTTCTTAATTATCTCTTGAATTCAGACTTGTTGAAGTTGTTTGTAAATTACCCAAACACTGTGCCATTTCATTGTTGGTTGTTAATCTAAGTTAGAACTGATTAACAGGGGTTTTAAATGAGCATTGCTATCTGATGAGCCAACAAACTACAAGCAACAGGAGTCAGATGACTGATAAAAGCCAGTGTTCTTGCTTGTTGCTTTGCAATGTCAGCATCTTTTAGAAACAGTCCTATTTATCTTGAGTGTCTAGATTTGATTGATTAATTTATTAATTGATTAGTAGGACAACAGAGAAGGACTTATTTGGATAATTAATGGTTTCACCTATTTGATAATTAAATATACCACAAATTATCTAGTTTCTGCTGTTTGAATATGAGGAATTCCTGCATTTATTTGTATTATGTTGTCATGAATTAATTATCTTTGGGTTTTGGCCAAAACGGAACATTTCGTGAAATATGCTAGCTGTTTTTTGTTAAAGTTTTCTGACATTTTATAGACTAAACAATTAATTGAGAAAGTAGTCTAATAATATAATAATGACTGTTTGTGTCCCCAGAAATAACAATAAAGTCACTGAATATTAATGACTTGATGTACTGTAATTTTTCAGCTTTTTCCACTTTTTTAAAAATTTGTTTTCTTTTTTATGTGTTCATACATTGAGCCCATGGGAATTAGAGAGAAACAGAGAGAGATGGGGTTGTGTGTAAAACAGTCCAGCAGAAGAAAGTGCAGCAGGTATTATGTTAGAGGTGAGGAGATGCAGGCTTATACAACATTGTGAGTCCATGAACCCTGCAGGAGGGGAAGTAGGGCAGATTAAAAAGAACAAATGGAAGACTGTTGATCCAAACAAAGAAGGGTGAAAAGTAGGGAAGTGGGTAATGGAAGGAAAAGCAAAAGGTCCCATCACTCCATTGTGTCTTATTTTGTCCATTTTCTCAATACATCTCCAAATTATTTTGCACAAATTTGTAATGAGCATTTGAATCTTTGTGTGTGTGTGTGCGTGTGTGTGTGTATTCAGGTGGCAGCAGAGTACTGTAAAGATACCACTCTGCTGCTGATGGGAGTCATCTGCCTGGCAGCCTCCATAGAAAAGTGGAACCTACATAAACGGATTGCTCTGCGCATGGTGATGGTTGCAGGGGCCAAGCCAGGCATGTAAGTAGCACATGGACTTTTACACATTCAGTAGAATAAACCTCTTCCTACACACACAGACACATACAAATAGACCCAGACCTACCCTTAACACAAAGCATCCCTGAATCCTATCCTCACCCAAGCAATGAGCAGATATGTGCCTTGACACACAGCATCTACGTTGTATTTGCTCAGGTTAGACGGTGGCTGGCCCAACTGACTTATAGTGGCAATCACCTCTGAGAGCTCGGTCCACTCAACTGTCCAACCACTGACAGTGTTTAATCAAGAAGAATACACTATTAACAGCCCCAGAGAGTCAATAACTATATTATCTCTAACACTAAAGCAAGTTCTGTGTGGCTGTCGGACTGAAGGCAAGTCTACAGGGTCATCAAATGGGCACCCTCTCACCACAGTAACTGGTGTTTTTGTTCAGTTGGGCCCATGACAATAAGAAGGCTCAACAGTGTGTCCAGCACACCTGACACAACCCACCATCTACTCTCTTGATAATTCAAGCTAATTCACTATAACTGTTACTAGTGCTACTATTTTACTACTGTAGGTCTTACACTGACTCTCCCACAGATAACAAACACAACATTGCTCTCTCTCATCCAGGTTGGTGCTGGGCTTTATGTGCTGCACAGTGTTTCTGTCCATGTGGCTCAGCAACACATCCACCACAGCCATGGTGATGCCCATAGCTGAGGCTGTCTTGCAGCAGCTTATCTGCACCGGTCTGGCCGACAGCCACAGCAACTCCGAAACCACAGAGGCCCCTGAGGATGATGACGGTACCGCTTGTTCTGTTACTGGAAAGGGAGGTCATTGAACTATAAGTAAAAGTAAAAGATGTGATGTGTTGAGAAAGCAGTTTGTGGATCCAGCTGTAGCAGGGAACACTTTGTCTTGGTCACAGATAAACACAGTGTAAATACCTTTTGCGGTTCAGTGTGTTACACCAGCAGTTGTTTGTTGTTGTTTCAGACAAAGAAGAAAACCTGGAGAAAAACCAGTTTGAATTGCTCTATCACAACGAGAGGTACAAGTGTGTATGTTGAGATGATGAGTGTTTCTGTGTAGACATAAAACCTGTGCACTTGGTGTGTGGTAATATTGTTGCCCAATTCTCCCTATTTCTTCTTCTAAATTGCAGTTATAAATGCTCAGTGTTGTACCACAGTCCTTGTCACTTCCATTTCAAGCAGCTGGCCTAGAGAAGCTAACAATGCATGTACTTCCCTTCATCTCTGAGGAGTTTCACTCAGAGAAGATGAGGCTTGGCAGTGCACTTAAAAAAAACAAAAACAAATGTTGTTGCAAGCTGCAGAAGGGCATCTAAGCCACATGCAAGTCTCCTTAAATTAAAAAGACTTGTTAAAAAAATCTGTGTATTGGAATAAATATTTATTAGACAAATTTGATTATCATTTGAAGTTTTCCAAAAAAAATCAAATCAAATATCTGTTTTTCTTTTGTGTCATTTTTTTTGAATGACTTGATTTTAAAATAAATTCTTGATCTAAATTCAGATGTTGTTACATTTGGTCAGCATTGTACATCACGGGAGCCAGGGCCTGCGAGAGAGAAGGAGAAAGAGAGGGGCAGGTGGCGCTGAGCAAACCTGACAGATTTTTTTTTTCTTCAACATTGTCTCATGCATTTGATCAGTATTAATAAAAACTTGTTACTGTGAAGTATCATGACCTTTTTTCTGTTGTATTTCCAGTGACTGCAGCAAACAGGAGCTTTCTACACAAAGTGAGGTGAGACCTGCCACAGCTTTTTTTTTGCCAAGTAGGTATAAGTCAAGTCAATCCCAGGTTCGAATCAGGGTTGCGTCAGGAAGAGCATCCGGTGTAAAACACGTGCCAAATGTCAACATGCAAGTCGTCAGTGTGACGATTCACTGTGGCGACCCCTAAACGGGAAAAGCCGAAAGTGAACTACTAGGTATAAGTCAAATAATTAGCATCAGAGCAGCAGAAAAACCCATATAATGCAAGTCTCTTGTTCACAGGTGCAGACTGACGAGTTAAATGATTTGGGTCTGAAGTCGATTGCTAACCAGGACTATAATGGAACCACCAATGGACACCTGCCACAGGTTAGGAACGTAATGTAGGTTAATCAGGCTGGTGTGTGACTGTAGGTTTACTGGAAACAAGGCTGAAAAACACATCCCTTTCCCTGACCAACTAGAGTCAGTTAATATCTTTAACATTTTCCATTCATTTACAGTACATTTTCCTCACTCACTTTTAGGTTGCAGTTGAAATTCCAAACGTCAAGCGGGAGAAGGAAAGGAGAAATTCCCGGTATCCCACCAAGAGGGATCACATGATCTGTAAATGCCTTTCGCTCAGCATCACCTATGCTGCAACCATTGGAGGACTCATCACCATCACTGGCACATCCACCAACCTCATCTTTGCTGAACAGTTTAACACGTAAGTACACACACACACTTGTGTAATGATTTTAAAATCTTGGGGGTTGAGAAGCATCCTCCATCTGTGGGCAGTAAAAATAAATATTAAAGAGGCATTGTAAACAGTTCTGAAAGACATTCTGGTCCAGTATTAAGTCGTGATGACTCCAGACACCACCTGCACTGTTATAGCTTGATTGATTTCTTGGCTGCTGTGCTGGTCAGATTGAACCACTTGATGTTACTGCAGTGTCTAGGGGTAAACACAGGGTCTGAGATCAAACTAATCAGCCTCCACAGTCCTAATGGAGCCGATTGTCACCATTCACATCATTAAGCCTGGCACAATCGCCCCCTTCATGTTGCAGCTTGTTTGACAAAGGACAGGTTTTGGTTCTGTGTGTGAGTAATAGTTATAGTCCTAAAGTTATGTTACCAGGACCAGTGAATGGTCCAAGAAGTAAATATGAAAAACCCCCAAATTATACCTTCAAATTTAAATGGTTGTTAAGTCAATTTATTATTAGTTAAATATAGAGAACTAATGTCAAATTGGCTTGTGTGTGTGAGTGGTTGTTCGTCTGTGTGTTGGCCCTGTGATGGGCTGGCGACCTGTCCAGGGTGTACCCCGCCTTTCGCCCGCAGCTGGCTGGGATTGGCTCCCCGTGACCCCGTTTGGGACTAAGTGGTTTAGAAAATGGATGGATGGATGGATGTCAAATTGTGTAAACATAACACAATGAAGTGAACTTTTTTAGAAAAAGTACAAAAGTATCCTAATGTTGACTTCATAAATGAGGAATCCCTGGTAGATAAAGCATGTGTGTGTGTGTGTGTGTGTGTGTGTTTTGGTTAGTTGGTCTAAGTCCTTGTCTGCAACAAGTCCATGCTAGCAAATGATCAACTTGGCATACTGTACATGCATACATACTGCAGTATACATATACACACACCTACAGGTGCTTTGACAGACACACTTGACACTTGAGGCAGATGTTAAATATTAGGCCTTTCTACAAAACATCCTCTCTCTTTTTACGGATTCTGTGCTTTTAATCAAGCCTTCAGTTGCCTTTGTGTCTTCATTTAGGTATTCTGTCATTTTGTAAGTCCTCTATATTGAAATGCAATTCTTAATTCCAAAGAGCAAACATCTACTGGCTCACAGGGGAGAAATGGCCCAATGAAATAAAGAGCTAAAAAGACAAATTACAGTACGTTTAATGCAAGAAAGGATAAACACTAACCAAAATGATTTGTCACAACCTGACAACTCAAATCTTGTTCTTAGTCATGGTTTATAACTAATCTATGAAAAAGTTCCACTGGTTACAACTAATAAAGCCTTCATAAAGGGCACCTCATTCCACAGTAAGCTAGTATGTTCTCATTAAGTCTCCTATTAAGCAAGTGCAGGTAAATGGAATTATGTCTTACTGAGATTCTTTATATTTTGATGACAGTACACAGAGTATTTGCCGAGTTGGCAAAAAATGTCCTAAAACTAGAATAGGTGCTGCTGTTTTATAGCTTTTATTATATGACAGTAGTCAGCACAATTAATGTAGAAACACACTGCAAAGCACTATAGCGACACAGAGCAAATTATGCTGCTTTAATGAGATTGAAGAGATTTCTCCAGAAATGTGGCTTCTGTCTTGCAGTTTAATAAACCAGATCATATTGTGGTGATGCCTGCTGGTTTCACTGTCATTGCACAGAGCAGTGCTTCTGCACACATAAGAAGATGGGAATTACAACTGCTGTCAGTCAAAGCAAATACGAGGCTAAAACAGGGTCAAAGTAGGGGACCGATGGGGGTTAAGTGGTTATTTCATAACCGTGATACAGTTTCATTTTTATCAGTGCAGGTGCTCTCAGTGGTTAATGAGGTTGAGCTTTTAAAGAGAATGTGTTATTTAAACATAATAACACACGTGAACCTCAAATCACTGACTGTTATTAAATGATAGGAGATGTTGGAGGTGACTGGTGGCCCTCTGCTAATGTAAGTGTTTTTGTTTTTCTAAGTTAAGACAACACTTCTAATCAACCCTATGCATCAGTGTATCAAATGTTTAAAGGACTTAGGGCTCTATTTTCCTGCCAGCGCAATTTCTGCAAAGCCTCAGTTGCAGACATTATGCAGTTTTCCTCATGGCTCATATCTACTTTTTTTGTGCACTGGTGTGTTTGATATTTTCCTGCCATAAATGAATGTGTTTATGCTGAGGTGGAAGAAGAGACACACTTGAGGCCGTGTGTATGCTAATTAGGCAGCGCAATGCAGTTTTGGTGCTCGTTTTGACCTGAAATAATGATTTTCCTGACATGTGCCTAGACTGGGAAGCACGAGATTGGGTACCCAAATGTTTTTAATGGACACACCAACTTAGAATTAACCCTTAAATGTACAACTTATCTGCTGGATTTTATTGCATATCATGTAGATTATTTTTCAATTAGATCAATGAACTAGTCTTCAGTATATAGCTATAGATATGAATCTATTCAAAAAGTGTTGGTGTGTGTTGGCACCATTTGTAGGCTACTTACAGGATGCAGCCAGAGCTGATCTGCAGCTGCTGTTTGGGAATCCAAATCCTTATTTTAAAAACAGTGAAACATTTATAAAGCTACATACGAGACCACTGTGGATTTTGCACACTGGATGCAGCTGTGTGAGTAAATGACACTAATTAATTGCTGCTGGTTACAGGATCAGAGACTTTCATCTTGCATGGTTGATTAGTGATATTGGCAGACTACTGGGTGAATATTCATGAGCAGTACTTCTGCATAAATAGTTTTGTCACTGTCAATTTCCAAATGGCATACATAAGTGGCAGGTGAAGACAATGGGGGGAAAGAATCTTTCCTCATATATTTTCATGTCATGACATGAGTGACATCAGACAGTCAAGTTTCCGCCCTGGTATTTAAAGGGAATGAGAGGAACTGGTTTGATTGGACATAACTAAAGCCAGCCCCAACTCCACCTGCTCACGATGTATTCCTCCCTTCCTCCAAAATGCGCCCGGTAATGCCTGGCAGTGCACAAAAGTGTACTGCATCTGTGGACATCAAAATTGCAAAACATTGTTAAACACACCCTTATGTCCCTTGTGCCTGGAGTTTAGACCTGAGTTTAGTGCTGCACCCTGTTGCAGGAAATAGAGCCTTAATGCACATACAGTATATCTTAATGAAACTCTGCGTCTCTTTATCTGTGTCTTTCTCTTTCCAGCCGTTATCCAGATGCTAAGGTGATTAACTTTGGTACGTGGTTCATCTTCAGCTTCCCCATTGCCATTATCATGCTGGTCCTCACCTGGCTTTGGCTGCACTTCCTCTTCCTAGGCTGCAAGTGAGTGCATGTGTGTTTATGTGTGTATTTTACAGCTAGGATCCTGTGCTGCAGGTTGTTCAGATCACTGTCATATGCATGTGCAATTAAAGTGTGCTATCCTACTTGTCCACTTCTTGACATCTTTTCATTATAGACTCATGCTAATCCCGCTGTCTGTAATGCAGTGTTGAACCGCAGCACCATTTGGTGTCCTGTGGTTGCAGGTTGTAAAACAGAGTGTGTCAGGTCAACATGTGGTTGATGATGCTGCTGTATGCTCAGCTTCAGGGAAACATGCTCGCTGAATAAGAAGCGCAAAACAAGGAGAGAGATGCTGTCAGAGAGGAGGATCCATGAGGAGTACGCAAAACTGGGACCCATCAGGTGTGTACATGGCACTTCACTGTTTGTGTGTGTCTGGTTTCGTTGTTGTAGCTTTCCTGACTGAGTGTCTCTTGAGGTTGTATCTTGAGAGGACATTTTTGCATTTTGAGGACATTCTATGTGCTATTTGAAGGCATACACTTGGTTTTTATGGTTAGGTGTTAGGTTAAGTGTTGGGGTCAAGCTTTTAGCTGTGATGGTTAAGTTTAGGGTCACAGACTAGGGAATGTGTTATAACAATAAGGCTCCTTACAAGCATAGAAAGAAAATGTGTGCATCTTACTCACACATTCAGACATGACATTGTGGTACAATTGTGTTATGACTCGTGTAATTGTTGCTCTCCGTACTTCTTGGCTTTACTGTGTGTGTGTTTGTGTGTCCCAGCTACCCAGAGGTAGTGACCGGTGTTTTCTTCATCCTGATGACTCTGCTGTGGTTCACCAGAGAGCCAGGTTTTGTGCCTGGCTGGACATCTCTTTTTGAGAAGTAAGTACTCATAATGTTGCAACACAGCAAAACAAATGGTGTTATCACAAACAAGTGTTAGTGATCAGACAGTGATCAGTGGCTTTACGGTCAGTGATGCAGTGAGTCAGTAATAAATGCATAAACATACACTGTCACACAGACAGAGATGAGCAAAGAAACTATAAGTATCTCAGTGACGGTACTGTAATTAAACCTATTTTGTCATGAAACATAAGAAAAGGCTCTGTAGCTGTACCTTCAGTAAGCCCTAAGCCTGTTTTGGGGATTTTCCTCGAAAAACACATACCCAAAATGAAATGTGTATATCTCTGCAACCACAAGGTGTATTTGATTACTCTTGGTGTCAAAAGAAAAGGAACACCTGTGAGATTTGTCAGGAGGTGTAAATATCATTCTATGTTTTGTTGTTGAAGAGTAAATGAAGATGGCACACAGCACAAATTAGATTTTTCAGGTTTGCCTATGTTAGTGTTAGGTAAAAAAAAAAGCATATTCATACTGAGTATTTCCACAGCACAAATTGTAATGATCCAGCTGCAGCTCTAAACCTCTATGAATCCAAAGTACAACATGTGATCATCACCAGGACCAAATATTATTCTAAAATAGTCAAGCAGGACAAAATTATAGAGGTTTTAGTACATGAAGTCCAGGCGAGGTGCTAAAATGGCACATTTTGGCACCACCTGTGCCATTTGAATTTTCTCATGTATAAAACTATACTACATTTCATTTGTGTATCAGTAATGGTGTTCCATACATCTAAATACAAAACAACTGGATTTTTTTTTCAAAACAGAACTTTACTGAAACTCACACACTCATAAACACACTATTTACACTGTGCACCACACACTATTTACACCATTGTGCATGTATATGGCAATGTTACTTCCCTTCATGCCACAGCTTGAAGCAGTTTTTGTTTTTAGTGAGGCAGAGGGGAACCCCACACTTTGTACCGTAAAGTGGTGTCTTTACACACCTGATTCCAGCCTTGGTGCACCTCACACAGTACTTCCTGGGCTGTCCTTCCCCTTCAAAGAAAGCAGGAAGGCAAGTGGTGGGGGTGGGGGTAGCTGCTGAGTCTTCAGCAACCATCAGCATCTCTTTGGCCAGCTGTTCTCTGAATTGTTTTTGGGTGTAGGGCTTTGGCTGGGTGCTGTCCTGTCGGTACTTGTACAGCTCCTTGTGTAGGAGGAAGCTGTTCACCACAGCAATGTCAACAAAGTGGTAGAAAAACGTTTTGTACCACTTTGTTGTCTTGTGATGAACGCTGTAAAACCCAACAAGTTGATCTGACAAATCCACACCACCCATGTACTTGTTGTAGTCCACAATACAGTCTGGAACAGGTACCTGCTTGTTATTCCAGACCCCAGCCTCCTTCACTTTTCTCTTTACAGTCTTTCCAGTGAAGGCCTGATGGATTGTGGAGCACATTGCAACAGGTCTTGTGTCCATCCATTTGACAAACAGAAGGTTGCCACTACGAATCCAGCACATCCCCACTTTGTCGGTTTATCCTTTATGTACTGCTTCAGGCTGATGTGCGCTTTGGAGGCGACCATCCGCTCATCAATCGACACATGCTGGTAGGGCTGGAAGTACACTTTGCAGGCATCCACCATCTCAGTGTACAAAGGTTTGATTTTGAAAAGTCTGTCATAGGCCGGTGAGTTCCTCTTCTTCTCATTTTCTTCATCTTCTGCTGGGCTGCTGAGATGAAGAGACCAGAGAATTGCCTCAAACCGGTCCCGTGTCATCTTTTCCCTGGGCAAGGAGAAGTTATATGGCCATTGTTTCCTCCAGTAATCTGACCTGTGATGGACTGTCACAAGGCCAGTGAAAATAACAATGGCCAAAAATGTATAGAAGTCCTTCACTGTCAGGATGGTCCACTTGAAAACCACCCCAGCAGCTTGTCTTCTGGCTGCATTGGCGTTTGTGTTTTGAACAATTTTTCTGACAACTGCAGCAGAAAAAAACAGTTGAAAAAGGCCAAGTGGGGACCAAGACTGGGTGGTGTCAAATGCTGGGCCGGGTTTTCTAGCTGGCATGAACCGACGAGGGACAGGCTGGACATCCTCTTCCTCTCTGTTATGCCACCTGTCCTCCTCACCGGCAGGTCCGGGTTCACTAATAATAAAAAAGCAAATTTAGTCATAAATCACAAAAAGCCAAACACTTGGTGCTGATGTCAGATTTAGTTTCTACTAACTTTGATTTGTATAGCTCCTGGTTGGAGACAGAGGCTCACACATTCATCTAATCAGACAGTCTATTTGCACTGTAACAATGGTTAGCTGACCAATTTACATACACACATCAACGCTGATAGCCCATCCCAGGATGCTCATCAGGCCATGATTTGCATCACACAACTCAGGCCAGGCCTCAAACCAAGTGTTCTGAGAGCCTGCATTCCTCAACATGAGACACCAGTAAGATCTTTACAAACCTGCATTGTTCAGCAGCAGCAGCAGATTGTCTCCCTCTCTTCCTCCCCTCTGGCTGGCTGGTCCTGGTTCATCATCTTCACTGTAAACCCAGATGTGGAAAAAAACAGATGCATTCACTGAGTGGCCTGGTTGTGAAATTCACACATACACACCAGTAAGATCTTTACCAACCTGCATTGTGCAGCAGCAGATTGTCTCCCTCTCTTCCGCCCCTCTGGCTGGCTGGTCCTGGCAGGTCCTGGTTCATCATCTTCACTGTAAACCCAGATGTGGAAAAAAACAGATGCATTCACTGAGTGGCCTGGTTGTGAAATTGCAATTGCTGATAGCCTATCCCAGGATGCTTATCAGGCCATGATTTGCATCACAGAAGAAGTTGAAGAATGCAGGCCTCAAACCAAGTGTTCTGAGAGCCTGCAAAAATTGCATTTACAATGCCGTCCTTTTCATCAACATCTAGGTGGAAAGCTTGAGAGTAGTCAGGTGCATGTAAACTACATGCGTGTGACAAAGCTTGTTTGATGTCCACAAAAGCCTTTTCTGCTTGTGTGTTCCACATCAGAGCAGAACCATAGTTCTTGTAACCTGCCTCTGTCAGCATGGCACGGAGAGGTG